CTCCTTTTTCATTTTTACTTTAAGCTACACACTTTTCTCTTTTGAATTTAATACATTAAAAAACTTTTTTGAAATATGATAGAATACCGCTTTACAATTAAGTTTAAAATACGAATATGTTTCCTAACCGCCCAGGCGATATAGTGGTTAGTGTCGCTGACTGCCGTGCCGAAGGGCCCAGTTTCGAATACCGGAGAAGGCATAGATGTTTGTAAATGTCGGTGAGGCATGGCAGCACTCTAACTATTAGGTCATATAAAAATCTCCGCGCTTTTTTGGTATATTTTTGAACAAAAATTTTCTTTATTGCAAGTCAAGTTTAATCACGTATCGATGATTATTATCTATGATCTTTTGCCATTCTGGGGGTAGCTTCATAATTCCATCGATGTAGAACTTCTGTGGTTCATCGTAGAAAAAACTTGGACGTGTGATTTTCAGCGGCTCTTCGGTCGGCCAATTTTTTACCATCAAGAGAGTTTTGCAGAGACAGAAAAAATGGTAGTCAGATGGTGCAAGGTTCCGGCTATATGGTGGATGCATCAAATCTTCCCAACCAAGTACCGTCAATTTGTTCCTAGTCATCAAATATGTATGTGTCCGTACATTGTCATGATGGAACACAACTCCCTTTTGGCCAACTCTGGTCGCTCTTTCTGTATAGCTTCGTTCAAACAGTCGAGTTGTGCACAGTACAGGGCCGAATTATTGATTTCGCCAGGTTGCAATTTATGTGGTACCCAAACATTGAGCTTCTTTTTGTAACCTGCTCTTTTCAAATGATTCCAAACTGTCATATGGTTGATGTTTAGTGCCTCTGCTATGTCCTAACAGCTTGCGTGTCAGTCTTGCTCCGCCACTTCCAAAATTCCATCGACCATTTCAGTGACTGGCCGACCAGAGCGAGGTGCATCTTTGATATCGAAATTTCCGGAACGGAATCGAGCAAACCACTTCTTGGTTTCTTCGTTCACTCACAGCATTCCCACTATACACTTCACAAATTTTTCGGCATGTTTTTGCAGCCTTTTTACCTTTTTTATAGTAACAAAGCATCATATATATTTCTTCAGATATTTCAGTCATTTTCAAATCAATATAACTTTTTACACAAGCAACGAATTAGAAAACTATTTTCACGAACAATGGAAGCTGAATGTCATCTTTTAAACACATGATCGTTTGAGACAATAGGGTGAGTGTTGCCGGCTATATAGGCATCAACACCATCTAATGGCAAAAAAAAAAAACGCGGAGACTTTTTATATTACCGTGCGGCGAGTCGAGAGTCCTCGTTTGTGGTTTGGTGCACTACACCCCGGGTTTGGCAACCCAAAGTGCTCTCCAGCAAAATTGAAGGCAGAACTGAGCTAAACCACACTGCCACTTGTAATAGGCTCAAGGCTGTTGCTAACGGCAGGCGCATCTTGCGCTCTTGCCAAGAGGAATTCCGTGGGCTTGGGTTGACTATACGTCCGACAAGTTAGCATAAGCAACAGCAATACACAGTGGATGAACAAAAATATGGAAACACCTTGTGAAATGCATGTTTGAAAAGAAAGATTGGTTTTAATGAAATATGTAGGTGGTGCTGGCGTTTTTGACTACTAACGCCACCTATACAACTTCGTAAATGTGCTAAACAGTTCAGTTGTTGTCGGAGTACTGTTATGTGAGGTTGTCATTGCATTATGTCAGAGTTAACAGATTTCGAACGTGGACAAATTGTTCGAGCACGTATGGTAGGTGCTTCCGTAAGCAAGGTATAGCCGAGGTGTTTAGTGTTTCAAGAGGTACTGTATCGAAGATTTATTCCGCATATTTGAAAAGCGGAAGAGCATCATCTGCTAAATCACAGCGCGGACGAAAGTGTGTCCTGAGTGATCGTGACAGACGATCATTAAGGGCAATTGTGACGAAAAATAAGAAGACCACAGCTGCAAAAGTTACTGCTGAAATGAATGTTGTGTTACCGAACCCTGCGAGTACCAAAACAATTAGAAGGAAGCTTCATAAACAGGGAATTGCTGGTCGTGCTGCAATTGAGAAGCCACTCATCAGTGATGCTAATGCCCGTAAGAGGAAAAGGTGGTGTTTAAGTCATAAAGCCTAGACTATAGAGCAGTGGAAGCGAGTGATATGGTCTGACGAGTCTTCTTTCACATTGTTTCCCTCTTCTGGCCGAGTTTACGTCTGGAGAACGCCATCTCAAGCCTATATAATACAGACTGCTTGTTGCCAAGAGTGAAAAAATGGCGGGGGTTTGGGGGTTTTGTTATGGTTTGGGCAGCCATATCGTGGTTCTCTGCTAGCCCCATGATAACTGTGTCAGGGCACATGACTGCCAAGACTTCTGTGAACATTTTGGCCGATCAAGTTCATCCCATGGTACAAACTTTCTTCCCCGATGGTGATGGTGCCTTCCAAGACGACAAAGCCCCTGTTCACACAGCTGACATTGTCCAGGACTGGTTTTCTGAGCACGAGGATGAGTTGTCCCATCTCTCCTGGCCACCACAGTCACCAGACCTGAATATTATCGAACCTTTGTGGTCTACATTGGAACGGAAAGTGCGTTCTCGTTATCCACCGCCAACATCGTTATCTGAACTTGCCACCGTTTTGCAGGAAGAATGGTATAATATTCCCTTGGCAAACATACAGGAACTGTATTTATCCATTCCGAGAAGACTGCAAGCTGTTTTGGATGCCAACGGTTTTCCTACACCATATTAAGCAAAGAAACATATTTTAAAGGTGTTTCCATATTTTTGTCCAACCCCTGTATGTTTCCTAGGAAAGTACATCGTGATCTTCAAGACATCTTTCAATTTCAGGAGCCATTTCCAAAATAAATCTCTTTCTTGCATTCCAATCAAAATAAAACAGTAGCAGATGATTGTATTGAAAATGCCAAACCTTTACCTCAAAATGCTAATGAGAAAATTTAACGACCCTCTGTACAATAAGTACTCTCAGGTATTTATAGCAATGTGGGTTTCAGATATATAGCTGGATAAAAAATTAAATGAATTATCACCATAAAAACATGCCATTTACTTTATGTCCAATTCAAACTGACTACTTTCTTGTATCAGCTATCGCAAAGCTACTTAATGTACGCTTTTAATTAAAAATAAATAAAATTAATATCAAAATAAAATTGCTCCGTCTAAGTAATGCTGAACTTTAAAAATCTGCAGAATTTATCAGAAGTATACTATAAGTTTGTTATTTTAAATTTTTAGAGAAGTATTTTCCTTTAAACATTTAAAAACTTTCGCATTCTTTCATTAAGTCAGAAACTAAAAGCAAATACTCGCACTCTTTCTCTTTCCATTAAGCGATGGGCGAATGTTCATCAGAAATTCATAAGAGTTCAAGCGATAACTGTATATTCCTCACACGTTTGATGAATTTGAAGTGAAACAAGAATCGTATATATTTACTTTTAAATACCGTTAAAAAGATATATTGCTCTCAGAATACATCTCTAAATCACAAACAGAGAAAAAGAAAAACCGAGTTCTGTATATCTTTCAGTTTTATTTAAAGTATTTCATGTGCTTGATTTATCTCCTGTAGTGTAAGCATATGTTAATATTTTTTTAATTTATTCAAAAGAAACTCCCAAGTTTTATGTTTTGATATACACTTTTCGTTAGTAGGTAAAGTGTCAAAGAGGGGAGTTTTAGCAAACACGACAAATACATCTTCATTTCGTTACTGGCTCATTAATCATAACGAAACACTCGAGTGCTATCTGCGTAGGAGTAGTGGTGCCTTCATGAGGAATGTTTGGAAAAAATAACTCTCATTTGCATTACAATTAAAGAAAAACACCATAGAGACACCCATGGACCTAAATCGTACCTCCAGCGGAGCTTGAACCCAGGAGGCATATACCCACCTTTGAATTTCTAGCCGGATAAGTCACATTAGCTTTGAGGGTGATATTTTTTAAGACCGTGTTTCCGCTTAACACAATGCCGTTTGATTCCGTTGACATTCATTAACTCTAGGACACAGTACTTAAAATTTCGGTACTCTTTTGTTATAGGGACCGGATTCAGAAATGTTTCTATGTATGCATGTATGTATTCATGTATGCATATATATATATATGTATGTACGTCTATCTGTTTGTTCATACACACACATACATGAACACATTCATCTACACACATGCATACATAAATACATTTCTGAATCCGGTCTCAATAACAGAAGAGTACAGAAATTTCTCCAAAAATAAGCTAAGAGTGATCGAACGTCTAAAACTCTAATAAACTGATCATTTCTGATTATGTTGTGAGCGATGCTTTCGATTGTACAAGATTTTGAGGTTTCTAAAGTCTTGAAATCTTTAAGCACTTTAGAAAGTGTCTTCACGAAAGTAGCTATCCCTGAGTAGTTACTTGTCGATTATTATATTATATTTAAGTAATAAGCTTAATTCCCTTTATTATGAAAGGGAACATGTACTCATTTTTTTCTTCAGAGGTACCCTATTTACGACTAGGGCACTCTTCGGCCCTATTTTTTCCCTTTTTTTTTAAATGGAAGTAAGTAGAAGCTTATATAAACTTCTGATTACTTTATATAGTTCTTTAAGCCAGTAAATGTTTATCTTCAGTTTTAGTGAAAATGCCACAAGTGGGTTAAAATAACTATTATAAACTTAAATCATATAATATTCTAGGAGTTTTAATTGAATACCGAATATACGGATTTCATCTTCATCATTAGAGTTGCAGAAAACATTCTGAAACATTTCGATACGTCTGATAAAACATTATTACCATAAGTATGAAGTTTACAGTCCCTCAATATAATCGCCTGCCATGTTTACCACCTTCTGCAAAATTACTGGAAAGCATTTTTCGCCGTCTCTTTTGTTTGTGCACTTTTGTAGATGCTCCACAACCACCACTTTAAAGCACAAATAACCTCCTGTGAACTGTTATAATGGATATCTTGCAATGGTTCTTTTATTTCAGGAAAGGGATTATAGTCCCAAGAACTATGGGTTCATACGTCAACTGGTATGAAGCAAGACCATCTTGAAGAGAAGGCCCAATCCAAAGGGGTTCTTCCCTGCTGTGACGTCACGAGCGAGGGCAATGGTAGTAAGGCCCTCTCCAAGGCAGTGTGAGTGTAAGCACAGCGTACGTACGGTTAAAATCTAGAAGGTATGTAGCATTAACTATTTCTTAACTGTAGTAAATTTAACTTTTAGCAAGATGTATCGAAAGTTAAGTATATTTACTAGCTCACTTTAATTTTTTCTTTTAATTAATTCTGTTTGACCTGTACTTTTTAAAGTTAGATAATGATTCAAAATAAACACTTTTATGATAAATGAAAGCTAAAGAGATCCCCCCATTTTCATTCATGGTCTAATACATATTTATTACATATGCCATAACACTCATGTTAGATATTATAACAATCTAGTAAATTTCTGTTGTAGCTTTCATTTTCAAACTATGCATCAAACGCGAATCTCGTAATGCTTTGTTGGAATGATTCCTTCTTCTAAATTAGACGAGAATAATAGTATTAAAAAAAATTCTTGAAAGTTAAAAAATATTGAGTTCGAGTTTGTACATATATTTTGTACAGTTACTAAGCTTTTAATAGGAGTTTATTAATAATTATATTCTACAGTATATTTATTATATAGCATTAAACTATTCACTGTAATTCCTTTCCCTTTAGTTATTATTTTATTAAGATGCATCATACAGTGTTAATTGAATTTTTACAGATGCCGCGAAAATGTAGCGTTCCGGGATGCAAGTCAAATTACTATGCAAACGAAGATCATATTACAACTTTTAAGTTCCCCAAAGATGATATGCTGTGTAAAACATGGATTAGTAAAATTAATAGGAAAGACTTTGTACCGGGATCATGTGCTTGTGTATGCATTTTGCATTTTGATGAACGTTTCATCATAAGAGACGATAGAGCAACACGACCTGATGGGACAGTATTAACAGTTCAAAGAAAAGTGCCAGTTTTATCGAAAGATGCATATCCTACTATTTTTTACGGTCAACCTAAATATTTATCTTGTCCTTTACCACAAAAGCGAAAGACACCAGAAGACAGGACAAGAGAAATAAACGAACGGCGTGAAAATAATTTTAAAAAACTGTGTGCTGCAGACAACATTGCCTCCTTTTCAGAATTTTTGAAACTTTACAGCAATAAATTACCAAATACATGGGCAATAATGAAAGCATGTGATTATATACTTTTTTTGCGTATTGAGATGGAAGATTGTCCATCAGTCACTGTGTCATTTAAAGTCGAGCATGATTTAACTGTTTCAGTTTTTCGTGAAGGTTTAAACATAACAAGTATGTTTGAATGGCTTTTGGGAAAAGATACATTATGTAATAAATTGTCAAAATTTGAAAACCTTTCAAATCATCTGTACAATTATGAGAAAACCTCAAAAACAGTCGAAGAAATGCTGGATTTGGTAACTGAAACTCTTCAGAAGTGTTCTAAAAATACATCAGAACAGATTATGATTTACCGATTAAATTTTTTTAGGGAACAGATATCATTACTGAAAGCTAAACGCCCAACCTACACAGCTGAAATAATGATATGGGCTTGCACATTATTTTATACCAGCCCTACGTGTTATTCTCGAATACGAGAAAGCTCGTCCTTGATTTTACCACATCTTTCCTACTTAAAAAAGTTAGCATTAAATGTTGGGTCGACAACGGGGTTAAATGCAAAGTATTTATCTCACAAATCTTCACAACTACAAAATCATGAAAAGGCTGTGAATCTTTTACTTGATGAGATTTATATTAAACCTACTGTTTGCATATAAAGAATGGTAAAATTGAAGGCTTGTCATGTACAGATATGTCTCAAGAAGCTTCTACAATTCAAACCTTTATGATTTCTTCAATCTTATCTTCAAATAAAGAAGTTATTGCAATGTTTCCTGTCCATAATCTCAAGCCATAATCCATAATCTCAACGATTTAAAAATTCAAACTTTACAGGTGTTAAAATTTGTTCATGATTGTGGCTTCGATGTTGTTTCCATAATTTCCGACAACAACTATGTTAACCGAAAAATGTTTGAAATGCTATGCAATGGTCATATGGTGTCTGCTATTGAAAATGAATTTCGTTTGTGAAAAAAGATTTTCTTTATTATTTGATTCAGTTCATTTACTGAAATGTATAAGGAATAATTGGTTAAACCAAGCTGAAACCAATCAAATCTTTAATATTCCATCTTTTGATGATACAGATAATAAGTTGTACTGTGCAAGTCTATTGCATCTGAAAAAACTATATAACATAGAGCAACAGCATTCTATAAAATTAGCTCCAGCTTTTTTGAAAAAAGTTCTATATCCAACTTCTTTAAAACGGCAGAATGTTTCTACTGCCGTTAAACTTTTTGATGAAAAGACTGTTGCAGCATTACATGTCGAATTAAAAGAAAACAAAACAGGATATGGAGAAACTGTTAGAGGAACAAAATATTTCATAGAAGTAATTTTGAAATGGTGGAGTATTGTGAATGTTAAACATCCGCGGAAAGGACTACATTTAGCAGATCCGAATCGTGAACCAGTATTTTCAATTAATGATGATAAAATTAAATTTCTCGAAAATTTTTGTACGTGGTTGATAAAATGGAATGGTGATGACAGGAAAAGTCCGGAAAAACTGTTGGTCGACTCACCAGAGAAACATATCATGCACTGAAACATACAACCACAACTTTTATCCAGCTTTCGGATTATTTATTAAAGAATTTAAAATTCCAGTATGTGCTGTATGGAAAAATTTCAAAACAGACAATTTGGAGGCAAGATTTGGACAATATCGCCAAATGAGTGGTGCAAATTACCATATTTCACTGACTCAGGCTTTAGAATCTGAAAAAGAAACTCCAGTTAATTAGCTGGATGAAATTGAATTCTTCAAAAAACGGGGAGTTCACAATAAAGACATTACAAACGGATAATGATGATTCAGACAACAGTACTGAATGTAGCACTGAAAAGTTTAATGAAATTATTTCCTTTTCACAAACATTTAAAATAACGGAAAAAGATATGAGAGTATTAATTTATATAGGTGGATATGTGGCTCGAAAAGTCTCTAATAAAACAAATTGTTCAAAATGCAAAAATATTCTACATTCTGATAAGGTTTTAGAATGTGAAAACAATCTTTCAGATTATTTGGAGTGCATCGATAGAGGGGGGTTATTGTGGCCTACTGAATTTGTTGTATATATTATTGCAGTTACATTTCAGATATTTCAGGGACTTATTTCAGAACATTATGAAACTGACTTTTTATGTGCCAACAACCAAAAACTTTTATTGATACAGCTTTCTGAAGAAAAACTAGATCTCATGAATATTGGATCTATACAGTTAATATGTTCATGTAAAATGGAAATTGGTAAATTACGACGGTTATGTTTATCCTCAATTTCAAACATTTTATTGAATAATTATACTAAAGTTCGTAATGATCGTTTTAAAAAGCAAGCAAAACCCCAGAAAAGGAGTGTGTGTGTGATTATGGCAAAGCCTCGAGGGCTATCTGCCTAAGGGAAGGGATGCCTTCGTGGAGGACTTTCTAAGGAAAACTGGCTCGTATACACGTTACACATGGGGAAAACCATGAAACGCCCATGTAGCCAGCCCGTTCGCGGGATTCGAACCTCGGACCGAACTACCAGTGTTCAGCGACTTTACCGCTCGGCCGCTGGTGGGCCTAACTGTACAGTACAACTCCAATTATGCGAATTCCATCTATTCGAATCACTTTCAGAATTTGAGAAAACAAATTAAAAGGGAAACGTAGTGTTGGACAATCAACGATTTCATGCATTAAAATTAGCAAACCTACACTTTTAAACTTCGTGGCACTGCTTGAAAACGAAGATGGAAATTTTTCAAGAAAATCAATGAAGGCAGCAAGAAACAAAAATTTAGAAGATGTAGTTTTCAAATCGTTTTTGCGGTAACGTTCTACGGAAAACCCAATTTCGGGTCCCATTCTTTGTGAAAAAGCAAAGATCTTAGTTCAGAAGCTTGGAAGCCCCCCCTCCCCAGAAAAGGAAAAACCAATCCTTATTAATACAGTAATTTAATATCAGTAATCTGGAGTCACTTGTTTAACATGCTTCGGTGAGTATACATTAATAAGGTTAATACTATAGTTACAACGTTTTTTTCATAACCTATTACAATAAAAATATTAATTATGTTAAGCAAATTATTATTCCTTTATATTAACTTCAGTTAAATGTAATATCTGAAATTTATGAAACAAATGTTTTGTTATGAAAATAAGTATTTCTTAATTGCTGCAAATTTTTACATTGAATATCTTTCTATATGTGTCTATAAATAACAAATGCAAAAAGAATCAATATGTTTTTAATATTTATTGAGCACGTGTAAATAAGCTTTAAATTTTTGTATTTAGTGAAAATTTTTCAAGGATAATAACTGGTGGGTGTTTTTATTTTGATATTCAGTATGAAGTAATAAGTATATTAGATTTTAATTTGTTTAATAATATACGTATATTTACTATTCTGAAAAACATTATATATATATGTGTGTATGCATATTTCTGCATGCATTTGTGAATGTCACAATTTGAAGAAATGAGAATAATGTGTATTGTATATTATGAAGTTACATCTAAGAGAATGGCCTCAGATTTTGTATTCATTTTATATGAATGAAAATCTATGTGTAAATTAAATAATGAAGAAACGGAATGCATTTATTTTGCTATATTTTCAGATTAATTAAAAAGTAACATGTTTTCATCTTAAAATTATATGATACAAACAATTATATGTAAATAATGAGAAAACTTATCTGAAAAGCGTAACTTTCTGTTGAATGTCAGTCTTTGAGTAAATCTGAAACATAAATTTTTGAAGCTTTCGAATTTCTGGGTAATTTTTTTATATGAGAGAGCAAAAACATAGTTTTTTGTATTGCTTGGAAATAAGTGAAAATATTTACTTATGATTTAATTTT